AATGGTCCAGCTTAATCGCAGCAACCACCTCTTCCTCCCACATGCTCTGTGTTTAAAACTTGGACTGGCAGGCTGGCTCAGTCCCAGCCCTCCAGTCTGAGTTTTAAATGGAGAGCATGCAGGAGAGCTGTGTGCCACTCTGCACAGCTGCCCCTGATACAAAGACAGTCGTGCAGGGCGGCAGGCAGAAGCCAATCCATGTGCGGAGCTAGTTTAAGCATGGGGCAGCTCACCATGAACAGAGGCTGCTCTGTGAAATATCAGAGCAGCCTCTGTCTGCAGGGAGCTCAGGGCCCTCCCCATGGACAGAGGCTATTGGCACCCTGCTCTGCTGATTTGTAGTGAAAATTATTAGTGGTGTGTTAAGAGACTGAGTAATATTTTGTAGCATGCAAAGAAACAGAACTTTAACTTAACGGGAACCAAACACTAGATCAGGTCAAATGAGGTTAGTTACATAAGACAGAATATGTATTCAGTGATGAAGATGAACTCCACCCAAACAGGTGAAAACAATTGTACAAAATGAAGAAGAGACCCTGTAACCGGGAAGCCTGAGGGAAATACATGGGCATGTTAACATATCTAAGCACATTCATCCCTAAGTTGTCACACTTAAATGTTCCACTCAGAATGCAGGCTGATGATAGCATGACATGACATTAAAAAGGCTAGCAAATAATAGTTTTTGGAAATTGAAGGAAAAATTGTCACTGAAGCATCACTCCTGAAATATTTTGAGATTAATAAAGAACACAGTAACTCAGGTCACCCAATCTAAGGTTGCCAACTTTCTGACCAAACCAAACCAAACCAAACCAAACGCCCTTGCCCTTCTTCTAGGCCCTACCCCACTCGTCCAACTGCTACCCCATCGATTGCTCTCCCTCATCCTTACTCAGGGTATGTCTACACTACCACCCTAGTTCGAACTAGGGTGGTAATGTAGGCAACCAGAGTTGCAAATGAAGCCCGGGAAATTCAAATCCCGGGCTTCATTTGTATAAAGCTGGGCGCCGCCATTTTTAAATGTCCGCTAGTGCGGACTCCGTGTCGCGTGGCTACATGCAGCACGGACTAGCGGACATTTAAAAATGGCGGCGCCCAGCTTTATGCAAATGAAGCCCGGGAAATTCAAATCCCGGGCTTCATTTGTATAAAGCTGGGCGCCGCCATTTTTAAATGTCCGCTAGTGCGGACTCCGTGTCGCGTGGCTACATGCAGCACGGACTAGCGGACATTTAAAAATGGCGGCGCCCAGCTTTATGCAAATGAAGCCCGGGAAATTCAAATCCCGGGCTTCATTTGCAACTCCGGTTGCCTACATTACCACCCTAGTTCAAACTAGGGCGGTAGTGTAGACATACCCTTACTCTTTTTACCACCAAGCTAGGGGAATGTTTGGTTGAAAACCGAACCACCCAAAAACCTCATGTAGGTTACATTCATGGTTTGGCTAGATGATCACCCAATGGCATATGCTTGTCTATAAAAACCCCAGGTATCTCCAAATATAAAACTTAGCTTAACTACAGAGATTTTGTTACATATGGTGGGATTCTGTGCAAAAAATATTGTCAGAACAAAACATAGCTTGAGTCATAGATACTAAGCATAACACAGCATATATGTGAGTAATGGAAACTGCAAGAGGAGACCCCTAAATGTTCTTTTCTCGCCAGACCTTATGTTGCCATTGAGAAAAATGGTATTTAAGGACACGTCTACACAGCATGGCTAAAGTCAGAATAAGCTATGCAACTTCAACTACGTCAATTGCATAGCTGATGTCAAAATAGCTTAATTCGGCTTTTGGCGCTGTCCACACAGCAGGAAGTTGAAGGAAGATCACTTTTCTTACTCCTCATGAAATGAGGGTTACCATGAGTCAGAGTAAGAAGTCCTCCAGCTCGACATTATTTCAAAATAAAGGCTTGTAGTGTACACGCGCACTATATTATTCCGAAATAATGCTGCTGTGTAGACATACCCTAAGTGAGGAGTAATTTAAAATAAAAAAAAATTTAAAAGAACCTTATTCTGTGTAAAAAAGATTGGTGATTGAGATAGGTCTAAGATTGATGCAAATATATTTAAATAACTTCACAGGTATTACTTGCTTCTTGTTATTGGATTACTGAGGGAATTTGTCTACCAAGATTTTTTTTCCACACAAGAATTCCATATGAAAAAATCTACTTTAGGAAATTCCAGTTTTCTTTTGGGCAATGTTAAGTATGGGAACATGCCTTTCTTCCTCTCTTCTTCCTATCTTACAATCTATTACAGTTGTGCAAACTGGAAAAAAAAATGGGAACTGTAAGAAAGAGAGAGAGAGAGAGAGAGAACGGACAATAAAAATGAATAAGGGCATGTAACAGCTTCCGTATGAGCAAAGACTAAAGCGATCAAAGCTATGTCTAGACTTCAGGGAACATGTTGTCTGCTCTTCTCCTTTTTTGTGTGTGGAAAAGCAGACACGCTCTTTCAGAAGCCCTGTCTTCCTCCTCCCCCGAGGAAGAAGGGCTCTTCCAAAAGAGGGTTTTTTCCTAAATTTGGCCCAGTGTAGATGGCTAAATTTCAGAAAAGCCTCTTCCAAAAAAACTATTGGAAAAAAGTATACAAATTGTGGAGTGCAATTTGCGTACCTTTTTCCGATAAAGCCCCATAGTGTAGACGTAGCCTGGGACTTTTCAGCTTGGAAAAGAGAAGACTAAGGGGAGATATGATAGAAGTCTGTAAAATCATGAATGGCATGGAGAAAGTGAATAAGAAAATGCCATTTACTCTTTCACATAACACAAGAATAAGGGATTATCCAATAAAATTGATAGGCAGGAGATTTAAAACAAAAGAGGAAGTACTTTTTCACACAGCACACATCAATCTGTGGAACTCATTGCCAGGGGATATTGTGAAAGCCGAAACTATAATGGCATTCAAAAAAGAACTGGTTACATTCATGGAGAATAGGTCCATCAATGAATATTAGCTAAGATGGTCAGTGTTGCAACCTCATTCTCTTGGTGGCCATAGCCTCTGACTGCCAAAAGTTGGAAATGAACAGGAAGGGATGGCTCACTCAATGATTGATTGTCTGTTCTGTTCATTCCTCTGAATCACCTGGCATTGGCCACTGTCAGTCAGGATATGATATTGTTTAGCTGGACCATTGGTTTGACCCAGTATGCCTGTTATGGGCGAGTTTTCATTTATAAGTGACAGTTTTGTTTTCACTCTGAGAATGAACATTCTACATTTTGTTCTTGTTTTCCAACTGCAATAGTAAGGTCAGGGAAAGTGGGGATTTTACCACAATGTTCTAACTTTTGGAAAACAGGCGAAGTAGAGACGACAGCCAGAATTTCAAAATGAAAAATGTAAATAAATTGAGGTTTTGCTCTTACATTTTGTTTTGACAAATATTATAGAAAACAAATGGTCACCAATAACATTCTTTTTATGCAAAAACATTTTTCAGTAACCCATTTTTATTAAAAACACCTTCTTCATCAGCAAAATGTTATGCAATGTTAATTAGTACTTCATGTTTAAAAACTTAACTGTTACACAACATATTGGATAATGATTTTCTCATAGTGAGATTCCAAATTAGATTCCAGTAATGGCTCACCAGCCATAAATACCTCCTTTTTGGAATTATCTTTGAAATAGCAATTCAAATATGAAATAACAAGCCCTTAGTCTTATAGGCAAAAGGATTTGATTAAAAAAAATCCACGATTCTGTCTTCACCAAAGTCAATGTACAGGAGGGACAAATAACATCTAAATTAAAAGATATCCAAGATGCTACTGACAGTACAAGGGGAGATGTTTCAGCAAGTCTTGGATACTAACTCCTTTCAAGTGATTGGGCTACAGCTTTTTTAGCCTGACCCATATGTGACAGGGGCTGCAATTTAAGCAAGTCTGATACCAACATTTCTGTGTGTCAAACCTTTATTACAGTAGTTTCTTATAAGCTTCTAAATTGAACAGGAGTGTCTTTTAGAATGAAATCATGATCTCCTTCCTTACATTAAATGCTTCCCACAATAGTTTTCCTACTGTATTTGGAAATTATAGGGCAATACATTTTATTGTCCAGTTAATGTCCAAAACCATTGTCACAAGTGCTATGACCAAGTATGGAAAAAACTAGAAAGGCATGGTTTTGAAAATAACATTACTTCACAGACAGGTCTGTCTTATTTTGTAAGAAGGCAGTGGACAGGCATGTCAGATTATGTGATGCAAACAAGAGAGAGCTGTGGGGGTGATTCTTATGGATTTTCAGGAGCCAGCCAGAGTCATCTTGAGAACAACCTGTGGTCAAAATCCAGGAAAAGGGTTGGGTTGGGTTGGTTTGTCAGTCAAACCTTTAAAGAAAGGAACGAAATCTCTGAGATGTGAGGCACTGCAACAGAATTTCAAGCAAGGGTATGGGATGTGCTAACTTTCATAGTGAACGTGACAAGATGAGGAATCCCAGTAAAGAGGCAGAGGGTGATTATTAAAGTGATTAAGTCAGCAAAACACAGTGGCTCCAAAGAAGGAAGGAACAATGTAGATAGTAAGCTAGTGGTTGCTCTTTGACCTTGAAGGAGTCCAGTCTTCTAGTTCAGTCATTCAGAGTTTCCTAGAAATTTAATATGCCAAAAGAACAAGAATAACTAAAATTCCTTCTGCTCATAATGCAGCTACCCTCAAGGCACCAAAGGGAAACTCCTTTACAGTTTCAAATACAGTCGTATGTCACATATATTTGTTGTTGCACATTCCTTTAATTATCACACTCATTTACTACTAATATACTTCTTTTCTGGGTCTAATTGTCCCCATTAATCTCTTTACAATCCCTTAGGCTTATATATAATTGTGTGTGCCATTAAAGCACTTTGCAAAGTCATTTGTTTTTCTGTAACTCTAGTCTCATTTTTTTAAATAAAAAAGCAAATTAAATATTTGACTTAACTGATTTGTTACATTCTTTTAAAGTCAGATTCTACTGTCCTTACTGCCGTTAAGGACAAAGAAACAGTACCTCTGGCAATAAGGGAAAAACATTAGAAAGGTGAGCTATCATCTACAATTAATACAAATAACCATTAATTAAATATGTATAGCTGGATGAGTACTGTACTTATTTTATATCTCTAGGTGGCAGCAGTGGAACAAAATACTTAAAAAGTAATGAATATGATGATATGTATTCACTGTTTAATACAAACAGGCATTAATTAAATGCATTTGACAGTTTCTTGCTATTGTACTGCTTTATACTCTAGATGGCAGCAGTGGAACAACATATAGCACAATGCTTGATGAGGCTGTATTCACATTTTCAGCAGGTTTAAGTTATAGGGAAAAGTTTCAGAAATTTAAAGGCAGAGTTACTAAACAGACTGAAGCTGAGTGAACGATGGAATTTGCTGCATAATAAAATGTATCTATTATAAAGATGGAAATCCTAATGTTCATTAGAATTGGTATTGTTATGAACTGGTCACTCTTTTTCCACTGTAAACTCTTCCTGCTTTCCCCTCACCAGAAGGGGATCTGGATCCACAGATGGAGAAGAGGGAGATATTCATTTGGAGAGGGGCCGAGTCAAAGCCCACGGTCAAGACTTATATTGACATCAGTGAGCATTAGCTCAGGCCCTCCTGGAAATGTAAAAGAAAAAGTGGCCTGCTGTTAGTTTATTTTTCAGATATTTAAGGCTGAGGATGTACAGAATTGGTTAGATTGTCCTTTTAAGGCACAAGCCCAAGAAGGGGAGCAAAGCTGGCCCTCCCCAAGTTTCCCTAGTGCACAGCATGGTGCACTGGCCCTATCCAATTGTCTTCAGTGTAATATGTGGCCAAGTATGATGGAGAAGGGACTATGCCTCCTTTTTTTTTGAGATACAGTGCACCCCCACATAGATGGTACAGAAGGAACAATGCCTGTGATCTTCTTGAGTGCTGTCAGCAGCTATGACTGGTTTTTGTATAAGATCAACAAAGAGATTGGAAGCTCTTTGCTCCTAATCTCAGAAACACTCTTGAAATAACCTGTTCCAACTTGGTCCCCATATAAACAATGGATATTTTAGAAAACTACGCATCAACTCACTTTTCAAAATTTTCAGCTGCCAGTAAAACAGTAGGAAAAAGTGATTGAATTGTTAAATACCAGTGTAAAATTAGAGACAGCTACTAATAAATTTTAACACTTGCAGGGCTACTCTGCACCGGAAGACCTCAAAACACTGTACAAAGATGAGTAAGTATTATCCCTGTATTACCGTAGGCAAACTTATGCACGAAGGCTGTAAAGGCTTTACAGCTGGGGGGCAGGAGACCTGTGTCCTAGACACCCGTATCTGTACCCTACCCAGCATGAGCCATGCTGCTCCCTGTATAAAAAATAAATCCAGATTGTACAAGTGACAGAAATAGCAATAATTATGGCATCTCTTCATTTGTGAAAATAATGAATTTAAATATTATTGCATGTTTCCCACCCAACAAGGGCTCTCGTGCTCTTTTTTTTTTCTTCCCTGGACTGAATGGTTGTGGATACATGAAGAGAAGATACTTGCTTTAGATTACAAAAATTAAAAAAAAAACAGGAATAAAAATCTTCCAGCTGCCATCTCAGCCACAAGGCTTCTGTGCTCTACATATGAGAGGTGGAGATAAAGGTCAAGTGATGTCAACACACATGGTTCCAGATACTGTCAGAGGAGAGGTACTGACTGGAAGACATAGGTTTGGCATTCTCAGAACACACCCTTCCAGTTAGCATATATAGCATTTCCTCCAACTAAGGACACAGTCCCCTGGAACCTCAGTGTGTGCACCTCAAGAATGATTTTGTATGCAAGCTAGCTGTGCGTGCTGGTGTGGGTGTGTACTCAACATATGTGCTTTATTATTAGGCATCCAACAGGAATTTTCAAACAAGGCAAAACCAGAAGTAGGCAATGAAGAGTTAGGTCTGTCCAGGGCATTCCCAGATTTTCCTTTGGTGTGAAGACAAAAAGGATGGGGTTGACTATGAAGATGGAACAAAGACATGAGGGGGATAGAACATGCTCATGTTATCTTCCTCAGTTACCTGGCCTTTGGACCTCAGCAGCATGTCTGAGTACTTCTTCGAGATGAGTGGGAACATTTGGCTAGCACAGTATTGTCAGTGGTATGGGCAATTCTTATGGAATGACAGATCAGCAGGGCCTACTACTTGGGTTGTACTGCCACCACTGATACACAGGATGGACTCACAAGACTCTTGTGGGTGCCTTGCCACTGTGGAAATCTCTGTGCTGACTAAATAGCTGATGTGAATCTATGGTCTTTGTGAAAATCAAAGACAACTTAAGGGAGCTTTTACACTCATAGACTTGGAGGTCAGAAGGAGCCATCATGATCATCTGGTCTGACCTTCTGCATATCACAAGCCACAGAACCTCACCATCTACTCCTGTAATAGACGCATAACCTCTGGTTAAGTTACTGAAGTCCATATATCATAGTTTAAAGATCTCAAGTTCTTAATCTGTCCATCTCCCCTTACATTACAGTGATTTTGGATTCCACTGAGCTCATGTCTAGCTGCATGGGGTGGAACTCAAGACATGACCTGGAAAGAGGGAATTCAAGCTATTGGGGGGGGAAGGGATGCAGGAGGAAAAGCTGTAGGAAGAGTTTACATTTTGTCCAGATTATAATGCATCTTTGAGGTCTGCAAGATCATGAGAGTAGTGTTCATCTGCCTAAGGCAATGGATGGATGTCCATAGGGCCGCCATGAGAACCACAAGACTTCCTGCAACAGAACATGTGTCCCTCCGCCCAGCTGTGATCAGAACTCCTCTTTCATGCTGTTCCTAGGTTTGTGCCACCCTCTTGACTTCCTTGCAGAGTGCCTTCTCCCCTTAAAAAAAAAAAAAAAAAAATCAGTTCTTTTCCGTATCCTACCACAGCATTGGGTCACCAGACTAGCTCCTGAGGAAGGCTTGACGTACCTTGAAGTCTTCCTTTGTGAAGTAGGTTGTTAACTGACCTCACAACCATCACTAGGAACAAGTGAAGTCACCTTGACAAGAGCAGATACCCAGGTTAAAGCATATAAATACCAAGGTATATGATCTGTAAATGGGATTCTCACGCAGAGAGCTTTACAAATACCCTTTAAAATCGACTTTTCTCAATCATTCTACCCTAATCACCCCATGCCATCGTACATCTGAGTTACTGCCCTATGTTTTGTTTGTTTCTCAGAGAGACAATACAAGTACATCTACACTGCACGCTTATTTTGAAATAAATTATTCCAGAAGAAATACTCTGAAATAACTTATTTTGAAATAGCACGTCTACTTTACAGGGAAGCCTCAAAATTAGTCCGAGGTAGGCTTCCTTAACATGGACATGCTACCTCAATTTAGAGCCTCAGCAGGTTATTTTGAAATAATGGAATTGCTTTGTAGACGGTCACATTGTTATTTCGAAATAACAGCCGTTATTCCGAAATAACTCTGCTGCGTAGATGCACCCTATGTGTTTTGGGAAGAGAACATATCTGATTGCAGGAGCTTGATTTCTTCACCTCGAAGGCCCAAGACACAAGTAACACTCAGTGATTGGGATTTACGTGAATAGCTGTTTTGTAATGTGCCTTGTACATTAATCTCACACTTGCATACTCCTTTTAAAAACACCACCACCACCACTAATACGGTGTTAAGGCTGTGTGGTAAGAATTCATAAGTTCTGTTTGGGCAGCCAATCTTGACTTTCCCCTGGTGCAAAGATTATGCAGTATAAAGATGTAATCTTTAATTATATGTGCAGATACTACTCCTAAGATAATATGATCTAATATCACATCAGCTGTAGAATGCATCAGAGGGGTGAAAGCATTATGCTAGAGCAAAATTTTTGGTATTGCATGTATGCTCCATAAGAGAAAAGATTTGCTTTCGTGAAGGTTAGCATCTATGCCATCTTTACCTAATGATGCCCGGTGATCATGTAATTTTATAACTGATTGTAATGCAGCCACACAAGGCAGCAGAGTTAAGTGTCTCTTCCAGCCACAGAGCTCCTACTAGAGCTTTCAGGGGCAGGCACAAAGGCAAGGGCTATTGCCAACCTTATCTGGTGTATCATGGATGTAACAGTGATTTTTACTGACCTAACAAGATGATCCAGGATTGGTTCAAGTCTTTTTTCTGGAGTCCAGTTCTTTTTTCTGGTGCAGCTTATGTTCTACTATGGTCAGTCTCATGGAATTTGGGGCACACTGAATTTTAAGCTTAGTATTTAATTTACCTGTGGATACTCCTTAGCTATATGCCTCTCCCTAATAATTCTTGTAGCTTTGCTCGTTGTGAATGAAAGTGCCTCTCTGCAAGGCACTGCACACTGCATCGCTGGTCCTACTTCCTCCCTCTTCCCTTTCCCCCACCACACTGCCAATTACTCTTTCCTCTCCCTTCATGTCCTTTTATTATCATTCCTTCTTCCACCGTGGTTCCTATAGCTGGAACATTCTCTCCATCCCACATACCACACACCAATCCCTCTTCTTTCAAATTCCTCCTCAAATTCATAGAAACATACAAATGCTAAGTTGTGCTAGAAAAATGCTGGCACCTCTCCATTATAGCACACATAACAAAGCCCCTGTAAAAGTAACCCTTCTGGTGCTTTTCGTCTATGACTTGTGCTGTCTCTTTAGATTTCAGACCATGGCCACATTTTCTCAGCTGTGGGTGACTAAATTATCTAATTGTATGTCATTTTCAGAGATGCTGAGCACCTACAATTTCTGCTAATTTCAATGGGTGCAGCAGGTAAAGGGCTCTTTAGAAAATTAGGATGCTTATTTAGGAGACTGGATTGAACAATGTGTACAGATCAATATTTTTTATGTCTTGTACTGAGGGCAACTTTTGTCCTTGGCTTGCTAATAGGCTGCATTTGTATCCCATCCTCAGTAGAGCATAAAGAGTTTTAGTGTCCATACCCGTCCTTCCTGGGATTTGGCTTTATTGATAACTCAGGGTATGTCTACAGAGCAGCGTTATTTCGAAATAACTGACATTATTCCAAAATAACATAGTGCGCCTCTACACTACAAGCCTTTATTTTGAAATAATGTCAAGCTGGAGGACTTCTTACTCTGACTCATAGTAACCCTCATTTCACGAGGAATATGGTGAAGTCAAGGAAGAGTGTTCTTCCTTTGACTTCCTGCTGTGTAGACAGTGCCAGAAGCGAAGTTAAGCTATTTCGACTTAAGCTATGCAATTGACATAGCTGAAGTTGCATTGCTTAATTCAATTTTAGCCCTGCTACGTAGATGTCCCCTCAAAAAGCAGCACATAAACCTTAGCATAAGTTTCCTTTCTAGACTTGGCTTTTTCTTATTTTGCTCAGCAGCTCCTCTGTCCTGGAGTCCTTAACAGCAGCTGCCAGCATGATTCAGCAGAAATTACCTTGTACTATAAGACAGAGAACCTAGTGTGATTCAGCAAAATAACCATGCATTCCCACCTATGTTATTAGGGTTAGCCACCCTATTACAGAAGGGATACCAGACCTGACGTTGTGGGTAGGAAGGGGACAGTTGCCCCAAGGTCTGTGATTCAAGGGGGCCCAAAGCTCTTGGTGAATGCCACTGCTAATGAGGGCTGGGGAAAGGAGGTGCACCATGCTCTGGGTGGCATGGAGGTCTGGCTGCCCTCAGCCCTGCCCCTTCTGGGAGCATGGAGTTGGGGAACCCCCCAACCTTGGCCAGAGGCCCAGCGTGATGGTCAGTGCCCCTGAGGGTATGTCTAGACTGCATCCCTCTGTCGGCAGAAGGATGCAGATTAGTCAGGTCGACATTGCAAATGAAGCTGGAATTTAAATATCCTGTGCTTAATTTGCATTAAAAATGGCTGCCATTTTTGCCAACTCAGCACTTTGTCGGCAAAAAGCAGCAGTCAAGAGGGGGATCTATCAAGAAAGAAAGCCTTTTTCGACAGATCCCATATGCCTCCTGAAAGGAGGTTCACAGGCTTTCTTTCTCGACAGATCCCCCTCTAGACTGCCACTTTTTGTGGACAAAGTGCTGAGTCTTATTAGCTGACTTTAATGGCAATAATGCATTTGTACTACATTTTACACCTGTTAGCCTTGCAGGGAACAGCACAACTCAGAGGGACTAGGCTGGAGTTTGTGCCTTTTTTTGCCTCATCATGAGAATGTTTTGCTAATGAAGTTTCAGTCAGTTACTCCTGTCCAAATGTATGTTAGAGGGAAGGACATTGCATAGGTTGTCTGATATTTGCCGAAATAGATGTTCTGCAAATGGAACTGTGAGCCTGAAATGACATGCAGAATCTCTATTTCTGGTGAGGATGCATCAGAAGGAAAGAACCCAAATGGAGTTGCAGATCCCAGGTTGAGTTTGCAGAGACAGCAGTTAGAAAAATAAATCTTTGTGTCTGTCAACAAATCAGATTTTGTATAGAAATCATTGAGACAATAGATATGGAGCCTCAGAGGCAGTTTTTATAGAGTCCCTGTTCAGAGCAGAATCACTCTTTAATAGTTTATGTAAGACAGATTTCATTTTGTTAAAGAGAAGAATAAGCTTTGGTGCCAACTAAACATCTTTGGAGGGACTTAAATGTAAACATAATTTGTATATGATTAATTATTTCTCTTCTGTCCTAGGTTTCATGAACTGGTGATAAAGAGACCAAACAACTTTTAGGTTTCTTATTTTATATTTATTTATTGTTTTGCAGGGAGTTATTTGTGACAAATTTAATTACTAGTAATGAGTGAAATCCATACCTATCAGAGGGACAGCACATGGCTTATGCATTTCTTAAGTGGTATTAGGGCTTGTAAGAGACCACTGCGCAGCAGAGAACTTCAAAGTACTTTTGTAGTAGTAGTCTGATGTCTTGGAACAGTGTAGGGTATATCATTGTGTGTTTTCAGAACAATTAAAAAGGGTATTGTCTCTAGAAAATGGCATTTGCTTGGGTAAATTCTACTACCTGTGCTTGAAACTGAGGCCATGTCTACACTAGGAAACTATTTCAAAATAACTACATTAAACTTCAAAACTTCCGATTTTACAAAATGAAAATAGCATGTTCCTACTACGGGGAAGCATCGAAATAAGTCTGAGGCAGGCTCCATGAATGTGGATGTGCCACCTCAACTTAGAGCCCCAGGAACACTGGGTAATTACTCTCAGAGTAATTCAAACTAGTTATTTCAAAATAGCAGCACCGGAGCATCCACACGAATACTATTTCGAAATAACTATTTCAAAATTAGCGTTATTCCCCGAGAAAAGCAAGAGTACAGATTTTTAAACAAGTGGTCCCTTATTTCAAAATAATGGGCTTGGTAGTGTGGATGCTCTACTTACAAATTACCTAAGTGGGATTATTTCAAAATAAAGCCCTAGTATAGACCAGGGCTAATCGTTGCTATCACCTATTAAACAAAAAAGAGTGCTTCATAAATCCACACACATGTGGGATGCCAAGTTTTGAAAACTCTTTCCTCTGTTACATATGTC